CTGCAAGCGCTTCTTCCACCCTAGAGGGCTGCTTGCTGAAAGGCCTTGCTCCTCACTTCACCCACCACCACTGGACAAGGCAGCACCAGAGACCTTGAGGATCTCCTCTAAGTTCTTGCAGGGCTCAGATGTCAATGACAAGTTCAGGCTTGGCAAATCTAGCGCCGCTGCCGATGCTGGAGAAGAGATCTGGGCCCACGCAGCCTGGACGGAAGGACGAACTGCTTCCCTGCACACTCTCCCCTGGCACTAAGGAAAAAAGCAGTGGAGGTAAGTCAGTGGGGCAAAATTGGCAGAGAAAAACTGACAGCTTTCGATACTCTAAGGAAACTCCAGGGACCCCACCAATATTGGAGAAAATTCTAAAAACAACCCCAAGCTGCCCTGAGATGTCATGAGCTGCCTATAAGGCAGCCACAAGGAGCAGGATGACAGGCACAGACCATGCACTGTGGTCTCCCTACCAACGCATGAAAACTCAGTATCCACAGAAAGACCAACATGGAAAGTTCTATAGCATCAGAGGGCCTTGTGAAAACTGTCATACGGGGACTGCCAGCCAACACTTTGTTTGATCCAGAAGCTAAAATTGGTTTGAGGTCAGCTTGGAAGGTAAATGAGATTCAGCCAAATTGAACCAAAAAGCAGAACCCGGAAAGCTGATACAGAACTGGTAACAAGAGCACTAATTTCATACTGGGTTTGGAGCAAGCCTGTGCTCAGAGAACTGTTAGCTCAAAGTCTTAGCCCAAAAGAACCTGAAACATCTCGGGGTGTTTTTTTTTTGGAGCTGTTTTGCTCAGGATCCTGGATGGAGCTGTCCTGACTGTCACGGTAATCAGCTGCTCACTTCTACCTTAGTGCATCAAAGCACAGTTACTTCAAAAGCATTTGCTAATGCCTTGCCAGTACTTGGAACTAAGAGCACTAAAGAGAAAGAAGTATTTTACATCAACCAAAGAAAATGTGGGTGAAGCTTGCTCCATGCACTAAAAAGGGGCAACCTGAGTCACATGAGGTGCAGAAATGTCAGCGTTTCTGAAGCCAATGAATTGGGGTGATCCTTCCCCTCTGCTAGGATACACATCCCTCTCCTCCCCATAAAAATATGAGGCTCGAGAGCCCCTCTGTTGTTCTGTATCACCACCCCATTCCACCTGCACAGGGTTTGCTCCTACTCAGGCAGCTCCCAAGGGACCCTTTCGGTCACCGTGCAGTGGGCGAAGTCCAGACGATACCCAAAAACTGACTGACAAGTGGAAAACTCTCCCCAAGTCACTACCCTCAGATGCCCAATTAATGTCTATTAAATCACCCCCTTGTGAAACTAAATATCTTGGCCTGAAGTGTTCTCAGTAGAACCCATTCTTTAGCCTCATTTTTTTGTGGGGAAACAGACAGAGAAATCTTTCCAAGCGGACAGCTGGATTTGTGTCTGGATTCCCTGCAGGATGTTGTAGAAACAGCAAACACAAATGAACTGTCCTGTGTAGCAACTGGCAACAACTTATGGTTGCTCATCCAAAGTTACCAGAAATCACCTCGAAGGAGCTGCAGGTCAAGGCCATCAACCAGGACACTTTTTACAAAGAAATCTTTCTGCCTTTCAGCTCACTCCATGAACTGCTGACAGTCTTGGCTGCTCGAGAGATGCTGATGCACCTTGGAAAAAGGTGGTCATGCAGCTAAACAAGCTAAACCACAACTGCTTAAAGCTCACTCTTCCATCTCCATCCTTCTCCAGTTTCGTGAATAAATCTTTGAGCTCCTAAAAAATAAGTACAAGAGAAGAGAAACTCACCAGCTGCAGCAACACAGCTCGAAGCATCCAAACGGCTTGTTAAAATAAATCCCATCATTTTTACAGTGCAAATGGAACACTCTTAGGAAACTCTTTTTGAAAATCAACACTGCTCTATTTCCACACACTCACAAAGAAACAAACTCCTCTCCACAAAGTCTGAAATGTGAGTCTCAGTAATGTATGCACAAAAACCACTTGAATCCTGCTTCGGCTTTGAGACAGAAGTGGGATTAAGGCCCTGCGCCTACTCTGAGACTCTGAAGAGATACAGTTGACCTGTAACTTCACCTTGGAAATGGCAGGCTATTCGCAGAGACACTCAGCAAAAGGACGAAATACAACAGGAACAAGCTGCAACAAGGGAAACCTCGACTGGCCATAAGCAAAAAGTTCTTCCTCCTGAGTGCACTGCAGCCCTAGGACAAAGAAGCTGTGGGGTCTCCACCCTGGGAGATACTCAGACCTAGACTGGATAAGACCTGAGCAACTTGGTCTAGCTCGAAAGTCAGCCCTGCTGTGAGGAGGACCAGCCCAGATGCCTCCAGAGTTCCCTTCCCACCTAATGCTGCCTCGGTCAGACACTATAGACCAGCTCCTCTCTAAGGGCAGCCATCTGTGTCCCCAAAGAAATGCAGCCGTGCTGGAGTATGCCAGCTCAGGACCAGTGCCTGTGGTCTAGGGGAGGCAAAGCTTACTTTTGACAGTCACTTCCTTTGACTCTGCAGATTCACTGCCAGAACTCACCGCCCATCCCTCTCTCAACCAGCCTGCTGCTCCTAGCCTTACTCTGCTCACCTCCTTCCTCAGCTCCCAAAGCCAAACACTGGCTGAGGAAAGCCTTGCCTCCTGCACCTACCTCCTCTGGGATGGCCGGGACTGGAGCCTCAGCCTTGTCCAAGGAAGTGCTGGGCACCCACCAGGAGCTGCAGGCTAGGTCAGGCTTCCAGATGAAAACACAGCACACACCAGCCATCTCAAAAACAGCCTCCCCACAACTATCTGTGAAACAATACTGTGAGGACCAAGCCCCCTGCATCTGTCCCTGGAAGGACAATGGCAGAGCACAGCTAATGTCACTGACACAACAAGGATGACGGGGACCAAGCAGCATGACTCCTCTGTCATAAACTCCATCCAGGCATGTTAGCGCCCTGCCACCCTGACCTTCCCCCGCAAATCCCAGAGCATCTGTACCATCTCCTCTCCTGATGGCTTGTCAATACATTACATGTAGAGAGGAGGGAGGCCATCATACCTTGTGTCTCCAGCGTCACTTTCACAATGGCTTTACCACTTTCAGCCTCTTTGTTTGCATTCAGGCTCTGTAATAAAAAAAATGAGGGAAGACCATCAGCCACAGTCTGCCCCAGGGCAGGGGTCACACATCCCGGACCCGCCAGCTCCACTCAAATATGCGTCCTGACACATCTGCTCACAGCCAGAATGGGAACAGCCCATGTGAAGCACCCAGCCTGACTCACTCAGGCACCCACAGACACACTGGGACTGGAAATGTTTGTGCTTTTGTAACAATTTCATTTTACCATGTTTAACATTTTAGCTCAGGACTCAGAAGAGTACCCTGCCAAGCAGGAGAGAGCCTTTTCCCACAGCTGATTAAAGGTTTGTTTAGAGATCAGCCAGGTACCCAGGGTACACATAACGGGAGGATGGTTAAATCTGCCCTCTGTTCAAGGATGAAGAAAACATTGTAGGAGGAGCACAAAAAGCAGGAAAGATCTAAGATGCAAATCCTGTTGAAATCCCAGATGGGAATGGAGGATAAGGGGGTACAGCATGCCCAAATCCAAACTCTCTGCCCCAAAAGCAAACTCAGACATCCAGCTCTGTAAAAACTGGATCCCAGCTGCTTGCACGACACAGGGAACTGGGGAGGGCATTGGCTGACAAAAAGCGGAGCAAAACACAGGTCCTTCTCCTCTGGTATCTGTAGAGAACCTCTACATCTCATTCAACTGCCCTGTCTGAGCTCAGGTTCGCAAACCAACCCCTCGCTCGACACCCTGGGCTTGCACAAGAGGTGACAGGGTCGACAGCCAGACAGCCCATCCTCCCTCTGCAGTGCTCCTGGGTCCGGACAGTGGGCTTTTACAGGGGCAAGAAAGGCTGTACACAGAGACGTCAGCACTTATGGTTTTCCAAGGGGGACACGTCACCATGCAGCCAGAGATCAGGGCCCATCCACCTCATCTTCAAGCAACGTGTTCAGCA